TTCTCTTTGTTTGCTTATTCGCTCAGTACTATGTATAGACGAAGCCCAATATTCAAACACAGCAGATATTAGCATTGCTATTATCCTCTGAAACCTCATCAGGTTTGAATTTCATATCAAAGTGCATCCTTTCCAAGGAAAATAAATGTTTATGGGGATATATTTGTCTATTCCCTTGTCCCTAGGATTCCAAGTATTAAATGAAACGCTTAGATCTCAATGTCTCCTTTCTTGGGCTTTGGGGTATATGAATGTTGAATGTGTCCTGGATGCTACAATCACAAGCTCATCGGATACAGGATATTCTTTCCCACAGTTGCCAACTAGATACCCTTGAAAAGCCCACAAGCAGGGCCGTAGCCAGAAAAAAATTTCAGGAAGGGTTGAAATTTTTGGGGGGCGTGAAAATTTCGCAGGGGGGGGGGTTGAAACCTGCCTCCTAGCTCACGCTGAAGCAAAGAGCATAGCAGGGGGCAGAGCAGCCTTCAATAGCCTGCAGCTCCGCCCTTGTCAACCACCTCCACCAAGTCTGGCCACCTTAATGAGAGCATTCAACACACACACACACCCAATTTGGTTGCTTCACTACTGTTCTGTTGCGCACTGGGCCTGTAAATAATTGTCTTTAGAACAGGATGTGCAACCTTTGCCCAGCAGGAAGCCAGGGGGCCTAAAGAGAAGTTCTCAGAGGTTTCCACCACAAACAGTCTTTAGATGGCTTGAGAAGAACAACAAAGTCTTTTATTAATGAACAATCAAACAGTAAAGTTGTCTTCAGTAAAGTTAAGCAAATGATTCCAAGCTTTTACGCAACTGGTGAATTCCTAATCTTGCCCATGAAGGACAGGCAACTGTCTTCAATAACTTCTTTAAAGGGAAATCCCTGTTTTAACTTCTCCCAGGCTGACTGTAATCTAACCCTTACTGATGTGGGCTCCGCTACCAGGTCGAACTGCGTCTCGAATGTCGAGTGGACCTACCAGCAAGGCAGTAGATGTTCTCCAGCTGGAGTTCTTTGGTCTTTAGGGCTGTTTTCCTGGAAATTCTTTGGAGACTCTTAAGACCTTCCTCCCCTGGAAGGTCTTAAGGGTTGAAGCTTTTGTACTGGGGAAGCTTACACACATCCTATACATAAGCTTACCTTGCTAAGACTAACTAAAAATGGCTCCCTTCCCTTCCCAATTGCCCTGAGCAAGGGGCGGGACCAAAACTTAACAATGATGGACAGGTGACTTGCCCTATGACTGCAACCAAAGAAGCCACCTATCTGCAGAGTCCCTGAAACCTAGGACTGCAAACAAACATTTAATACAAAGCAAATAAAGTTGGAGCTCCTGGTACAGCTGTACCAGAACAACTACATCGGCTATTGCTGCAAGTAATGACAGTGTGAATAAATTGCTAATATTTGCTTGAGATAGTGCTTGCAGTTCTGGAGGGACTCTTGATTTTTTGCATCTCATAGACTTAGCATGGGGATTTGGTTAACCAGTTAAAATTCTTGAGTAAACCAGGTTTTTTAAAAAAATCTGAAACATTTCGGGGAGGGTTTGAACCCTAACCCCACCCCCCCCTTTGCTACGGGCCTGCCCACAAGCAGGAATCAGATGTGTTCACTTTTTCCTTCGTTTTTCCTCCAGTTCATAGGAATGCTCTCTAAGATAGGGTTAGTCAGTCTAGACCAGGCATTGACCAACTTCAGTGCTCCCTCCAGGTGTTTCGGACTTCAACTTACACAATTTCTAACAGCCTGCAGGCTGTTAGGAATTGTGGGAGTTGAAGTCCAAAATACCTGGAGGGCCAAAGTTTGCCAATGCCTGGCCTAAAATATAACATTTGAATCCTCCTCTCTCTTTCCAATAGTACTACTACCACAACTATTACTAATTCTTGAGAATACAAGGAACAGCAGTAATAAAAACGTGATGATAGATAGTCCAGGAGCCATTCCAAACAGACTGACAACACAGTTAAATAAGATAACGGTGACAACGAGAAAAAGGAGGCTGTTCTTGGACCAGGCAAGATTATCTGATCATACCTCCCCTGGTCACGGCCGAAACCTTGGTTCCAGGCTTAGTGATGAGTCCAGGATCCCACCCAAGCTGTGAACCTGCATCTTCAGGGGGAGTGTAACCCCATCCAACATATATATAGGGCTGGGTAACCACGGAAAAATTTGTTTCTAAACTCGCTTCATTTCCATGGGGCGCTTGCGTTTCTAAATTCTAAATACTTCCGAAATTTGAGATTTCAAAGTTTCGTTATTTACGAAATTTTGTTATTAATTACGAATCGATTCGTTAATGGCGGACGTGATTGTGCAAGATACTAAAAAAACCTCCAAACGGGACAGGGGGAACTTCTGAAGCTTCCCTCTCCCTCTGTTGTTGACTGTTGGTGTGATAAAACAAACAACAACTATATTATATTATATTATATTATATTATATTATATTATATTATATTATATTATATTATATATTATTATATATTATTATATATTATTATATATTATTATATATTATTATATAATATTATTATATTACATTATTGTATATTATATTAAATTATTATATATTATATTATATATTATATTATTATATAATATTATTATTATATTATTATATTATATTATTGTATATTATATTATATTATTATTATTATATTATTTTTGTATATTATATTATTATTGTATATTATATTATATATTATAATATATCATACATATTATATTATATTATATTATATATTATTATATTATTATTATAACAACAAAAATAGCTAGAAGCACTTTATTCAGTGTATCTACTTCTAGTATCAAGAATTAAAGTCTGTAGCAAATTGCTGTGCCAAAAACATAATTTAGCAAATAATCCAGATTATCCTGGTATATAATCTGGGATAAGAGCAGTTCAAGCAAACTGCTTCAGAATCACAGGGTTAGAAAACATTGGGTGGAAGCAAGTAAAGTGTTCTCAAAAAACTGTCCCAAGCCCAAAAGCAGAAGATTAAGTCAGAATGAAATGTCCATCCAAAAACAATCCGATGTAAGAATCCAGTCTTTAAACTGCTTTGAAACGGCTTGTCTCAACCCAGCTAAAAGTCTTCCTTGGCCAGCAGCTTAAAACTATTCTAATATAATATAATATAATATAATATAATATAATGTAATGTAATGTAATGTAATGTAATGTAATGTAATGTAATTATTATTAAGAATAGATGGACACCTGTCAGGGGTGCTTTAATATACGATTATATTAATATAATACAATATACAATAATAATATAATATAATATAGTAATATAATATATAATAACATAATATAATATAATATACAATAATAATATACTGTCAGGAGAAACTTGAGAAACTGCAAGTCACTTCTAGTGTGAGAGAATTAGCTATCTGCAAGGATGTTGCCCAGCGTATGCATGGATGTTTGGTGTTTTACCATCCTTATGAGAGGCTTATCTCATGTTCCTGCACAAGAAGCTGGAGCTGACAGAGGGAGCTCAATCTGCTCTCCCCAGATTCAAACCGCTGACTGCTTGGGCAGCAGTCCTACTGGCACAAGGGTTTAACCCACTGCACCACTGGGGGCAGCTATCTAAACTGCACTTTATGAGTCTACACTGATGATATAACACAGTTATAAACTACATTATGTGGCAGTGTAGATCCAGCTTGGGAATCCCAATAAAGAGAAACCAATGCAATTGTCACCTATCTCTTTCTATAGTCAATCTAAGAAAAGATGAAAGATCCCAGTAGTTCTTCCTCATTTACTTTTGTCTCGGTTTTGGCAGGTGTGAGAGCCATCATCACATGCCACAAGGCTCCTGCAAATGCCTCGAACTCAGTCCTCCAAGACCAAATAAATGAAGAAAGCATCCCAGCCTGGTCTGGGGCAATGCACCCCCCTGAAAGCCATAACGAACACCTCGCTAATTATAATTCCACGGTTAGCTGCCCTCCTTTGGCTTGCATGCTCAGCAGATATGCCTCCTCGAGGACATATCAGGGAGCTAAGTTAATTCAGGGAAGGAATGTAGGGGGATGCTGTTGGGTGTTCTTTTTTTAATTATCAAGAAAACATTTTGGCCCTTAAGTGCCCTACAGCAACAGCGATCCCATCCCAGCAGCCATTTCTAGTGTTTCCTTTCAGAGACAGCTGTTGTAGATAAGTATCTACAATTATAGATTCTGTTTCCTTTGTGTATGTGTTTTTTTTTTAAAAAAAGCAGAGAAATAGAGGAAAGATCTCTGTTATGTTTAGTTGGCAGGTGTGTTTTTATTGCAGTAGGCATGGGCGGAATAAACCCTGCAAAGTGAGGAACAATCAACTTAAACATTGTTTGGTCTTATTTCTTCTATTGGTTGTGTTTTGGTTTGGTTGGCACTATTTCTTTGACTTAGGAAGCTCCATCTAAGGTCAATGTTAGGGGTCCCCATCTCCAAAAAAGTATGTGGAAAGCATTCTGTGAGAGCTGGACCTTCGGGGAAGGCTGACCAAAGGAAGATCGATGCTTTTGAACTGTGGTGTTGGAGGAAAGTTCTGAGAGTGCCTTGGACTGCGAGAAGATCCAACCAGTCCATCCTCCAGGAAATAAAGCCCAACTGCTCATTGGAAGGAAGGATACTAGAGACAAAGTTGAAGTACTTTGGCCACATCATGAGGAGACAGCAAAGCCTAGAGAAGACAATTATGTTGGGGAAAATGGAAGGAAAAGGGAAGAGGGGCTGACCATGGGCAAGATGGATGGATGGCATCCTTGAAGTGACTGGACTGACCTTGAAGGAGCTGGGGGTGGTGACGGCCGACAGGGAGCTCTGGCGTGGGCTGGTCCATGAGGTCATGAAGAGTCAGAGACGACTGAATGAATGAACAACAACAAGCATTCTACCCTATAAATGGGAGGAAAAGGTGTATCTGGCATCTTCCTCAACCATAGAAATTTACCATAACTGTTGACAAGTTATCGTTGCTGAATTACCTTTGGTGGAAACTTTGATGGTTTCTGGTGGCTTCTGGAAGGTCCAACATGGTCGTCACTAATTTGTGGAAGTTGTCCTATCTTTAGTCTAAATTATGTTGGTCAACTGAGATGATCACAGCTCATCTGTAAGAATGGTGGCCCATCAGAGATTGGATGAAACTTCTGTGTGTTCAATCTAAGTGAGAGTTTAAAAATAAAATGAGTGAATAAGCATTCGGCAGGCCACGCTACATGCTGATAGTATTGTCCTATACACATTTAAAAACTTGCTTCAGTAGTAAAAGTAAAATGGTGGTTGGTGCTCATCTCCATGTCTAAGCTGAGAAGGCAGGGCCTTCTCAGCTGTGGCCCCCGCCTATGGAACACACTCCCAAAGGAGGTAAGATCTGCTCACTTGCTCCTGACCTTTAGAAAAAAATTAAAATCATGGTTCTGGGACCAAGCCTTCGGACAATAGATGTATGCAGCTTTTAGTGGGACAAGGACTGGAATGGCGACTCAACTGATGAAATTGTTTTATGGTTTTAATAACTGTTTTGATATTTGATGATGTTCTGTTTTTAATATGATTTCTGTTTAAAGTGTGGTTTTACTATTGTAGTTGTAAGGCATTGAATTTTTGCCATTATCTACGTGTAAATCGCTTTGAATCCCCCTAGGGGTGAGAAAAGCGGTATATAAATACTGTAAATAATAAATAATAATAATAAGTCGAAGAGCCGTCATTGTCCGTAGACACCTCCAAGGTCATGTGGCCGGCATAACTGCATGGAGCATCATTACCTTCCTGCCAAAGCGTTACCTATTGATCTCTTCACATTTGTACATTTTTGAACTGCTAGGTTGGCAGAAGCTGGGGCTAGCACCAGAAGCTCACCCCGTCAGTGGATTCAAACCGACAACCTTCCGGTCAGCAAGTTATGCAGCTTAGCTGTTTAACCCACTGCTCCTCCACAGCCCCATCCATATTCTGGATGTCTAATCTGAATAATTTCCCCTTCCCTTTATCCTTCATCACAGATGTCCATCTAGAATCTCAACTGCTGAATGTCAGAAGACTATTTTTGAAATTTCACAAGCATGGATCCAAGAACAGTAAGATGGCTTGATAGGTCCTATTGGTCCTACTGGTCAGTCGCAAGGCCGAACAGGGTATAGGGTCGCAACCTATGCTGGACGGGGTCACACTCCCCTTGAAGGCTCAGGTTCGCAGCTTGGGAATTCTCCTGGATTCATCACTGAGCCTGGAATCCCAGGTTGCAGCAGGGGCCCGGGGAACTTGTGCGCCAGCTACGCCCATACCTTGGGAAGTCAGACTTGGCCATGGTGGTCCACGCTCTCGGTACATCTAGGATAGACTACTGCAACGCACTCTACATGGGGTTGCCTTTGAAGACTGCTCGGAAGCTTCAAATAGTCCAATGAGAGGCAGCCAGGTTAATAACTGGAGCAGCATACAGGGAGCATACAACTCCCATGTTACGTCAGCTTCACTGGCTGCAAGTTTGCTACCGGGTACAACTCAAAGTGCTGGCTTTAGCCTATAAAGCCCTAAACGGCCCTGGCCCAAATTACCTGTCCGAATGCATCTCCCCCTATGAACCATCATGGAGATTAAAATCCTCTAGGGAGGCCCTGTTTTCCATCCCGCCATTGTCACAGGCACGATTGGTGGGGACGAGAGACAGGGCCTTCTCGGTGATTGCTCCCCAGCTATGGAACTCCCTTCCTGGTGAGATCAGGTCAGTCCCCTCCCTCCTGTCCTTTAGAAGGATGGTAAAAACTTGGCTGTGGGACCAAGCTTTCGGGACAGGGCAATGAAGCAGCAATGGGAAAGATGACAGGGCCAATTGGATTTGATGCAGATAGCTAGGACGGTTTTAAATGGTGTATTTCAATATTTTGATAATTTTTTTAATGTTTATATATTGTATGTGAATTTGTGTCCCAGCATTGAATGTTTGCCATGTATATGCTGTGCTCCACCTTGAGTCCCCTTCGGGGTGAGAAGGGCGGAATATAAATATTCTAAATAAATACATAAATAATAGCTCACTTTAAGACTAGGCTCCCAAAATAATCTGGTATCATTGGACCATCAAGACCTTTATGCAGTTGAGTCTTCATTGGAATTATCTCTCAGAAAAGGACTAAATGATTAAACACTAAGAAATGTTTCCCATGCTATTGCCAGCGAGCTCTCCCAGGGATAATGAAGGCAATCAATCCTGTGCACAGTTATTTAGGAATATTATGCACTGAAGACATCTCTAACTAAACCATGTATTCGTATTGAAGGATGTCTCAATGATAACGGATGGGAAAAGTAATCTGTCCTCCCCCACAAATACCTGCAAGTAGGCAAAATGAATAGCAACCCTCCTTCAATGATTCCGCTGTTGAGTCCCCATCTTACAAACAGTTCTGAGGTCCTAACAGGCAGCAAAGGCAGGGCTGCCAATTGCTTCAAGTGACATTTCCAGGCACCACAACTTCCTTCCAGTGACATTTTAGGGCAGTGTTTCTCAACCTGGGGGTCGGGACCCCTGAAGGGGTCGCAAGGGGGTGTAAGAGGGGTCACCAAAGACCATCAGAAAACACAGTATTTTCTGTTGATTAGGGGGGTTCTCTGTGGGAAGTTTGGCCCAATTCTATCATTGGTGGGGTTCAGAATGCTACTTGATTGTAGGTGAACTATAAATCCCAGTATCTACAACTCCCAAATGTCAAAGTCTATTTTCCCCAAACCCCACCAGTGTTCACATTTAGGCATTAGGGCTGGGCGGTTTCGTTTGTTAATTTCGTAATTCGTTATTAATTCGTTATTTTTTTTTATAGCGAAGCGATATTGAACCATTCAGGAGCAACTAAAAAACGAAACGAATTTTTCCATTCGTTTTGTAATTGTTTCGAAATCGTTTCGAAATCGTTTCGAAATCGTTTCGAAATCGTTTCGAAATCGTTTCGTTATTATTTCCACATGTCTGGTGCAAGTTTTAGGGTTGTTGTTTGTTTTATCAATGAAAAAAAATATATAATTATCACACCAACAGTCAACAACAGAGGGAGAGGGAAGCTTCAGAAGTTCCCCCTGTCCCATTTGGAGGTTTTTAGCGTATTGCGCAATCGCGTCCGCCATTAACGAATCGATTCGTAATTGTTTCGTAATTGTTTCGTAATTTCCAAAATTTCATAAATTTCGAACTTTTTTAAAGAAAAATTTCGGAATTCTTTTAAAAATCGAAACGCAAAAACCCCCTAAAAACGAATCGAGTTTAGAAACAAATTTTTCCGTGGTTGCCCAGCCCTATTAGGCATATTGAGTATCCATGCCAAGTTTGGTCCAGATCCATCATTGTTTGAGCCCACAGTGCTCTCTGGATGTAGGCAAACTACAACTCCCGAAATCAAGGTCAATGCCCACCAAACCCTTCCAGTATTTTCTGTCATGGGAGTTCTCTGTGCCAACTTTGGTTCAATTCCATTGTTGGTGGGGTTCAGAATGCTCTTTGTTTACATGTTAACTATAAATCCCAGCAACTACAACTCCCAAATGACAAAATCAATCCCCCCCCCCCCCCCCCCCCCCCCCCCCCCCCCCACAAATTTGGCCATACTCGGTATTGTGCCAAATTTGCTCCAGTGAATGAAAATACATCCTGCAGATCATTATTTACATGGTGATTCATAATGTTAGGGTTATGGTTGGGGGTCACCACAACATGAGGAACTGTATTAAGGGGTCGCGGATATTGGGAAGGTTGAGAACCACTGTTTTAGGGCCATTTATGCTTTCCACAAATCAGCATTGATGGGCAAAACTGCATCTCCCAAAGTGGTAGGATATGTGGGCCTATTTTCAATGGCTTTTGGGCATTCTTGGCTTTTGGATGATATGTGCATCGGGTAGAACCACTGGGCCACAGAGGAACACACACACACACAATCACTGATTTTATGGAACCCAATTCCAATCTCTGCCTTATAATGGAACTTAGTACTGCAATGTCCTAATTTTTCCTCCAGAAGAAAAGCATGAAAAGCTTTCTCTATTTTTTCTTCCCATTTGTGGGGAGAGGGACATAATATTTTGGTGCTTTAGAAAATAATCCTAGATTTGTTTCACATAGAACTGAGAACAAAAGCTGCCACCCTAAGCACATTTACTAGACAGTAAACACCATTAAATGCAATGGAAGAAGCAGTACAAGAATTGTTAATCATAGAATCAAAGAGTTGGAAGAGACCTCATGGGCCATCAAGTCCAACCCCCTGCCAAGAAGCAGGAATATTGAGGAAAAATCACCCCTGACAGATGGCCATCCAGCCTCTGTTTAAAAGCTTCCAAAGAAGGAGCCTCCACCACACTCCGGGGCAGAGAGTTCCACTGCTGAATGGCTCTCACAGTCAGGAAGTTCTTCTAATGTTCAGATGGAATCTCCTTTCCTGTAGCTTGAAGCCATTGTTCCGCATCCTAGTCTCCAGGGCAGCAGAAAACAAGCTTGCTCCCTCCTCCCTATGACTTCCTCACATATTTATACATGGCTATCATGTCTCCTCTCAGCCTTCTCTTCTTCAGGATAAACATGCCCAGCTCTTTAACTCGCTCCTCATAGGGCTTGTTCTCCAGACCCTTGATCATTTTAGTCATCCTCCTCTGGACACATTCCAGCTTGTCAATATCTCTCTTCAATTGTGGTGCCCAGAATTGGACACAATATTCCAGGTGTTGTCTAACCAAGGCAGAATAGAGGGATTGCATGATTTCCCTGGATCCAGACACTAGAATCCTATTGATTCAAGCCAAAACCTCTTTGGCTTTTTTTGCCACCGCATGGCTTATGTTTAACTTGGTGTCCGCGAGGACTCCAAGATCTTTTGCACCAACTCGCTGTTGCACCAACTCCATTGGCTACGGATTTGCTACCGGTCTCAATTCAAAGTGCTGGCGTTGACCTTTAAAGCCCTAAACGGTTCCGGCCCAAGCTACCTATCCAACCGCATCTCTGCCTATGAACCCACCAGGACTTTGAGATCTTCCGGGGAGGCCCTGCTCTCGATCCCGCCGGCCTCACAAGCACGGCTGGCGGGGACGAGGGATAGGGCCTTCTCGGTGGTGGCCCCTCGGCTGTGGAACGCCCTTCCCACGAATATTAGACTAGCTCCATCATTAATGGTATTCCGCAAAAAAAGTGAAGACCTGGTTGTTTGAGCAGGCGTTCGAATAGTCAGTGCAATGAGTGTAATGAACATAGGAATGGAACAACGGATGATGGACCTGGATCATGTTTTTAGTGATGAGACGCTAGTGAATGGTTATTGTTGTCAATCGTATATTATTGTATAATGTGTTTGATGTTAACTGTTTTTATACCGTGTTGTTGTGGCATTGAATATTTGCTGTTCTGTTGTTAACCGCTGTGAGTCGCCTAAGGGCTGAGAACAGCGGTATACAAATAAAGTAAATAAATAATAAATAAATAATTTTTTCACACATAATGCTTTCGACCCACGCGTCCCCCATTCTGATCTTAGACCAAAGTTGGAAGGAAACTTTGCCATCGTGAATGATCTTCCTATGGATGCAAAGCATTTGTGGTCCAGCAGACGTTTTCCTCCATAGGAAGATCATTCATCCATATTCCCTGGAAAACTTGGAAATCCCGTGCCAGGAGAAAGATATATTTGAGAGAGAGCAAGGGAGAGATTGCCTAGCCACAATGCACAGCATTAATGAATAGTTGTGCCAACAGGCAAGCCAACTTCTGCGGCCGACAAAACAAAACATTCTCTCCGTCTGAATAAAAGCACTGCATTTCCTGGCTAATATTTGCCCAAGCTTGTTCTTTCCTGCAGTAACAAAGTCACTCAAATGGTTTTCTTGGAGCTATTCTTCGCCGCCCTCCTGGTAACATTTTCATTGTCAGCCCTGAGTTACTGTTTAATCCATAATCGCTTGATAAATGGAGTTCAATTGGAATACCTGTGTTAATTAAACCAAAGATGGCAGAGACAGCTTTCATTTCTCGCTGATAATTTCCCAAGGCTTTTCTTTCTTTCTTTCCTCCTTTTTTTTTAAAAAAAATATTATTATTAGATCTGGAAAAAAGAAAGAGAGAATGGAAAGAGTTCATATATCTTCTCTTTTAAAAAAAACTGCAATGTTTAATAATGGCTGCATGCGATAAAGCTTTCAATTGTTCGATATCGCTTGGCTCGCACATGAACTCTTGACACTGATTCCTTGCTTTTGCAAGTCACAATGACTGTTTCTTGAAAAACGTCGCCTTTGAAAAGGCAGAGGGACAACCAAAGGTGTTTAGCCCTTGATGTAAAGACGGATGAGTGATTTTATTTTGGACTCACTTTTGCCAACCTCAAAGATTGCCTATGTTCCTCGGTTATGGAACTCCCTCCCCGGCGAGATTAGATCAACCCCTTCCCTCCTGTCCTTCAGAAAGATGGTAAAAACTTGGCTGTGGGACCAAGCCTTTGGAACAGTGCAATAAGGCAGCAATAGGATCTGGTATTCCTGCTTCTTGGCAGAATGGGGTTGGACTGGATGGCCCATGAGGTCTCTTCCAACTCAGTGATTCTATGATTCTATGGCTGATCTGAGATGGGTTTGAACAATTGTTTTTAAAAATCAGCCATAGCAATCAGGCATAGCAGAGCACCTGATGAACCAACCTGGGCACAGCATTTTATTTGAGAACACAGAAATGCTGGACTACTCTCACAACCACCATGTCAGACTACACAGAGAAGCCATTGAAATCTACAAGCATGTGGACAGTTTCAACAGAAAGGAGGAAACCATGAAAATGAACAAAATCTGGCTACCAGTATTAAAAAACTCTAACATTACAACAGCAAAACAACAGACAGGAAAGAATCGGGGACATCTAATCACCTCTCAACAAAAGTTTGCTCTAGGCAATGTCAGGCCATTATATGCTAATCAAGGTGGTCAGTTGAAACATTCACATCTAGCTCCAGCAGACAAGAGCCCTTTGTCTCACCCTGGTCATTCCACAGATATATAAACCTCTTTTCCTAGTTCCAACAGACCTCACTACCTCTGAGGATGCTTACCATAGATGCAGGCGAAACGTCAGGAGAGAATGCCTCTAGACCAGTGTTTCTCAACCTGGGGGTCGGGAACCCTGTGGGGGTCGTGAGGGGGTGTCAGAGGGGTCACCAAAGACCATCAGAAAACATAGAATTTTCTCTTTGTCAAGGGGGTTCTGTGTAGGAAGTTTGGTCCAATGCTATCATTGGTGGGGTTCAGAATGCTATTTCATTGTGGGTGAACTATGACTCCCAAAAACCACAACTCCCAAATGCCAAGGTCTATTTTCTCCAAACTTTCCCAGTATTCACATTTGGGCATATTGAGTATCTGAGCCAAGTTTGATCCAGATCCATCACTGTTTGAGTCCACAGTGTTTTCTGGATTTAGGTGTACTACAATTCCAAAAACTCAAGGTCAGTGTCCACCTGACTCTCCCAGTATTTCTCTTGGCCATGGAAATTCTGTGTGCCAAGTTTGATTCAATTTCATCATTGGTGGAGTTCAGAAGGCTCTTTGATTGTAGGTGAACTATAAATCCCAGCAACTACAACATTCCCAAATGACAAAATCAATCCCCCAACCAGTTTTCAAATTTGGGCGGATTAGGTATTTGTGCCAAATTTGGTCCAGTGAATGAAAATACATCCTGTATATTAGATATTTATATTACGATTCATAAGAGTAGCAAAATTAAAAAAGTAGCAACTAGTAGGGGGTCATCACAATGTGAGGACCTGTACTAAGAGGTCGCGGCATTAGGAAGGTCGAGAACCACTGCTCTAGACCATGGCCCTATAGCCCAAAAAAAACTACAACAACCCAGTGATTCCGGCCATGAAAGCCTTCAACAATAAATTGTTTTTAAAGTGGAGACAATTGCTTTTGTGCATGTTTGTTACTATATTTTGCATTGCCTTGTTTTGTTCTTATACTCATTTATTTTATTACCTTATTTTATTGCGCTGTTATTTTTGCTGTGTTGTATTCATTCTATTGTAATTGCATTATCGGGCTTGTCCTCATGTAAGCTGCCCCGAGTCACCTTCGGGGAGATGGTGGTGGGGTATAATTAATTAATTAATTATTATTATTATTATTATTATTATTATTATTATTATTATTCTAGTATTTATGTATATTTATAGTTTATAGTGAAATCTTTTGTTTTTAATTGTTTGTTTTATACTGTTGTTTCGCTTATTATATTGATTTTTTTTGCATGTTATGTATTTTATTTTCAGGTATTTTTATGTTTTTGTTTTATAATGTATGTACTATATTAATGGGCATGGCCACATGTAAGCCGCACTGAATCCCCCTGGGGGAGATGGCGCGGGGTATAAATAAAGTATTACTATTATTATTATTATTATTATTATTATTATTATTTTATTTTATTTTCCAGGATTGAATGTTTGCCATAAATATGTTATTCTCTGCCCTGAGTCACCTTCGGGGTGAGAAGGAATATAAATGTAAGAAAGAAAGAAAGAAAGAAAGAAAGAAAGAAAGAAAGAAAGAAAGAAAGAAAGAAAGAAAGAAAGTGTTAGTGATAGAAGGAATATGAGGTTTTAAAAATAATAATTATATAAATAAAAATGTAATGGGATTAACAGAATTCAAAAACTACTGGACGAATTGACACCAAATTTGGACACAAGGCACCTAACAGCCCAATGTATGTCCTTCGCTCAAAAAAAATGATTTTGTCATTTGGGAGATGTAGTTGCTGTGATTTATAGTTCACCTACAATCAAAGAGCATTCTGAACCCCACCAATGATGGAATTGAACCAAACTTGGCAAAGAGTTCTCCCATGATCAACAGAAAATACTGGAAGGGTTTGGTGGGCAGTGTCCTTTGGTTTTGGATTTGTAGTTCACCCACATCCAGAGAGCACTGTGGACTCAAACAATGTTGGATCTGGACCAAACTCTACACAAATACTCAATATGCCCAAATGTGAACACTGGTAGAGGTTGGGGAAAATAGAATCTTGACATTTGGAAGTTGTGGTTGCTGGGATTTATAGTTTACCTACAATCACAGAGCATTCTGAATCCCACCAACAATAGAATTGGGCCAAACCTCCCACACAGAACCCCCATGTGGGCCACAGCAATGCGTGGCAGGGGACGGCTAGTAATAATAATAATAATTTTAAAATCTCATATTCCTTCCATTCAAAACATCAGCAGCAGCAGCATGACACAAAACCACAGTATGTCACAGCAAACGAGATATATATGCTGGATTTCATATCGCAAAATCAGAAGTCGGACACTTCCCAAGCATTTAGGACTGTATGATATATTTTCAAATGATGCATGCAGATCCAAGTAAGGTGGACTTTTGCCGTTGACTGATCATGATTTTTTTCCATGTTTATTGTTTCCAAATGCTGGCTGAGATCTTTGCAAAGGGTTATCTTTTCAGGACCTTTCTAAACTGGTTGGCAAGTGACTTTATTTGCAACTTATCCGGATAGAGGTGAGCAAAATGGCCAATTCTGTCATGTGATGGTATTCATTATTCTCAGCTTTAAAAGAATATGGTTAGGCAATTTGTGGGAGGAGGTAAAATGCACCTTTGAGTAAAAACTCCACCATTACCTTGTGTTCACGGAGGAGAGAATATCAGGAATATGTTGTATTCCTTTCTGTCTCAGGCACTTTCTGGGGTCCTTCCTTAAACTGCTGAGCTGCTAAGCTTGTTGGCCGAAAGGTCGCAGGTTCGAATCCGGGGAGTGGTGTAAGCTTCCACTGTCAGCCCCAGCTTCTGCCAACCTAGCAGTTTGAAAACATACAAATATGAGTAGATCAATAGGTAACAGCATTCCATGCAGTCATGCCAGTGGCCACATGACACTGGAGATGTCTACAGACAATGCTGGCTCTTCGGCTTAGAAATGGAGATGAGTACCACCTCCAGAGTCAGAAACGACTGGACTTCATGTCAGGGAAAGACCTTTACCTTTACCTTAATCATTTGTTGTTGTTGTTGTTCATTCATTCAGTCATTTCCAACTCTTCGTGACCTCATGGACTAGCCCACGCCAGAGCTCCCTGTCAGCCATCATCACCCCCAGCTCCTTCAAGGTCAATCCAGTCCCTTCAAGGATGCCATCCATCCATCTTGCCCATGGTCGGCCCCTCTTCCTTTTTCCTTCCATTTTCCCCAACATAATTGTCTTTTCTAAGCTTTCCTTTCTTCTCATGATGTGGCCAAGTACTTTATCTTTGCCTCTACTATCCTTTTCTCCAATGAGCAGTCAGGCTTTATTTCCTGAAGTATGGACTGGTTGGATCTTCTCGCGGTCCAAGGCATTCAGGATGTGACCAAATTATAATAATAACCTTAATAATAATAATCTTTATTTATATCCCACCCCCCTCTCCAAACAGGACTCGGGGTGGCTTACAGAATACAACCATTTTTCAATGCCAAGATAATATCTCTACCCTACACTTGAAGCCTACGTCATGTGATGAACACAGTAGGTTGCTGTTTCTTAAGTGTGTGGCTCCGTAGTATTTAGTAGTGATGAAGTGGTAATACAATAGGATTCCATTGCTATAGTGACGTCCTACAGAATCCTGGAAATTGAAGTTTAGGGATGACTACTTAGAATTCTCAGTTGGATAGCTTTGGTGCCTCAGCAAACTACAAACCCCAGCATTCCTTAGAACACAGGCGTGGTGGTTGAAGTGGAATCATAATGCCATAAAAGAGACACGTGGAAGCGCCCCATGACCTTTTGTCAACTTCTGTCAATTCTTCCCCAACTCATGTCAAAACTCTTCCAAGATTGCATCTGCACTGTGGAATAAACACAGTTTGGCACCGCTTTAATTGTCATGGCTCAATGCTATGGAGTCGTGGGAATTGTCATTTTGCAAGGTTATCAATGCTAAAGAATGCTGGTGTCTCACCAAAACAATTTTTATGCATATATTGTTTTGTTAATCTTATGCTTACATTGTTTATTCCGCATGTATTTATGATGTTACTTGGAAACCGCTCTGAGTCCCCTTGGGGAGATGGAGCGGTATATAAAGAAAGTATTATTATTATTATTATTATTATTATTATTATTACACCCATAATTCCATAGCACTGAAGCATGGCAGTCAAAGTGATGTCAAACTGCATGACTGCATTCATTCTACAATGTAAATGCACCCCAAGATTCATTCCCCATATTTGGCAGCTTATAAATCATCCCTACCCACTTGCTGTGAGCAAAATGTCAGGAGTCTGTAGCTCTCCTTCACCTTGACCTGTCTCATAGGGGTGTTGTAAGGCAAAAAACGGGGAGAAGAGAGGCTGTGTACTATACCTGGAACTCATTGGTGAGATATAAACCCAACTTATATTATTTCATATTCAATATGATTGATTAAAGTCTATACAGTGGCCTGCATTCTACTGGTAGTCCCAACCAAAGGAGACTCATTGAATCAATTGTGGAATGAGGAGTCAATAGCTACACAAATTAATTGTTGAATTAAAGGATTCCTGCTTTATTTTCAGGTGCTAATGTGATTCAAATCATTACAATTGTAATATGGATGGATGGGTGAATGGGTAGATTTGTAGATTAGATAGATAGATGATAGATAGATAGATAGATAGATAGATAGATAGATAGATAGATGATAGATAGATAGATAGATAGATGAGATATATATATTATAATGTCAGATAGATAGATAGATAGAAGATGATAGATAGATAGATAGATAGATAGATAGATAGATAGATAGATAGATAGATAGATAGATGATAGATAGATGAGATATATATATTATAAGGTCAGATAGATGATAGATAGATAGATAGATAGATAGATAGATAGATAGATAGATAGACAGATAGAAGATAGATGGATGGATGGATGAATAGATAGATGAGATATATATATTATGATGTCAGATAGATACATAGAAGATAGATAGATAGATAGATAGATAGATAGATAGATAGATAGATAGATAGATAGATAGATGATAGATAGATAGATAGATAGATAGATAGATAGATAGATAGATAGAAGACTTGTGCACAGATTTGGATTGGATAGTTCCCTTCGGCCAATCCAGCTTATTTGGCTTGGTCCGGTAGCCATTACAGCAAGGGCCAGCCACCATGTTTTCTCGGTCCCAACAGAACAGTAACTGTTGAATACCGGCTGCTTGGCTGCTTTTGGTGGACTGCAGGAGGGATGCAGCTACTAGAAGGAAAAGTGCCTCATGGAAAAGAGTGTGCACCTTTAAACCCCGGTCTTCTCTGCAGATCAAGAGGAAAGCATCACAGGAAGACCTCACTACCTCTGAGGATGCTTGCCATAGATGCAGGTGAAACGTCAGGAGAGAATGCCTCTAGACCATGGCCATATAGCCCGAAAAAACCTACAACAACCCATCACAGGAAGAGCTGTATCTTAACCTCACAACTTCTGAGGATGCCTGCCATAGATGCAGGTGAAACATCAGGAGAGAATGCTTCTAGAACATGGCCATACAGCCTGAAAAACCTACAGCTACCCAGGTATCTTAAGCCCTTTCTTTTCTGCAGACCAAGAGGAAAGCATCACCGAAAGAGTGGTATCTTAACTCTGATGTTTTTAATCCAGGTCTTAATGAAAGATATAAGGACAAATGATGCCATTGCCTAAAATGATGGAAAGGGGAGGGGAATTCCCCCCCATTGCTGCCAATGGGACAGATCTAGCCTCATTTTTTGGCAGCGGACCAAAAATGACGGTTTGGTGGTACGCCCGTTTTTGGAAGGCATGCAAAACCGATCTGGGGGGCTTCCAAAAATCGGGCATCATAAACAGATCAAAGTTCAGCCAAAATGCACAAGCCTAATAGATAGATAGATAGATAGATAGATAGATAGATAGATAGATAGATAGATAAGATAGATATAATAATGAGAGATAGAAAATCATGTTCGAATGTATCTCCCTCTATGTTCCACCTCATAGTTTAAGATCCACCAAGGAGGCCCTGCTCTCCATCCCACTGGCCTAGCAAACGCGTCTGGTGGAGACAAGGGACAGGGCCTTCTCAGTGGTGACCCCCTGCTTGTGGAATTTCCTCCCCAGCAAGATTAGATTGGCGTCCTCCCTCCTTTCCTTTAGGAAAAAAACTGACATCGTGGTTTTGGAACCAGGCTTTTGGCTAGCAGGCACAGTGGCACTTTGAACGTTGAATTGTACCATATGATGATTGTTATGATAATGGAAATTGCTATGATTGTATAATTAATTGTTATTGTTTTAATCTATTGTGTTTTTATGGATTTATAGTGCCATTTTATTGTGACATTGCGGCATTGGATTGTTGCCAGTGTTAGCCGCTCTGAGTCCCCCCTCGGGGGTTGAGAAGGGCAGAGTAGAAATGTTGTGAAGAAGAAGAAGAAGAAGAAGAAAAAGAAGAAGAAGCCAGAATTGGAAAAGTCGACAACAGATCCCAAATGTAGATTCTGCAAGGAAGCAGATGAAACAATAGATCACAACAAGATCGCGCAGACAGACTACAAGCAGAGGCACAACACCGTTGCTCGGATGATTCACTGAAACTTGTGCCACAAATGCCATCTGCCTGCAACAAAGAACTGGTGGGATCACAAGCCGGAAAAAGTTACAGAGAATGAACACACCAAGCTCCTCTGGGACTTCCAGATTCAGACAGAGTTCTGGAGCACAATACTCCTGACCTCACAATCGTGTTAAAAAAACAAAGTATGGATCGTTGATGTCGCAATCTCAGGTGACAGCAGGATTGCAGAGAAACAACTGGAAAAGCTGACACGATATGAGGATTTAAAAATTGAACTGCAAAGACTTTGGCACAAACCAGCAAAGGTGGTCCCAGTGGTGATCAGCACATTGGGTGCAGTGCCTAAAGACCTTGGCCTGCACTTAAACACAATCGGTGCTGACAAAATTACCATCTGCCAGCTGCAGAAGGCCACCTTACTGGGATCTAGACACTTGGGATGTGTCCGACGTGTGATCCAATTCAACAACCAGCAGAGTGTCTGTTGTGGACTCATCTTGTTGTGTTTCTAATAATAATAATAATAATAATAATAATAATAATAATAATAATAATAATAATAATAATGATAGAAAGAGGGGGGAATGAGAGATGGAGGGAGATCTTTCAAAAATATTGTTGAATACTGAAAGTATTTCTGCCTCTTAATAATGGTCAATGACTGGTTCAATGTCCAGCAATACCTGACAAAAGATTCTTTTGGGTAGGAAAAGAGAGATAAAACCACAGATTATTTGTATCTTTACCAGATACTCCCCTCATTATCTAACATTTGCAAGTAAATAAAACACCCACCAACATCAACAACATACTCATGGTGTTCCTCGGGTCCCTTGATCTCTTGCTCATTTCGACATAATAATGCAAGAGCTGGAAAGTACCTTCATTTAGACAAATCTCAAACAGGAGGTGGGACGCTTTTAAACACACTGTGTGCAATTTGCAATGGTCATGTTTAAAAATGCAGCTCCATTATCTTCTCTCCCCCCCCCCCCTCTCTCCCTCTCCATTTGGAATGAATGAGGCTAATTAATTTCAGGCCATACTTGATGAGGTCAGCACCATGCGAGGGGCTGCGTGCTAGACATTGCTAATCTCTTTCAGCTGAGAGTGATGAATTAAAGATGAAGCATGCCTCCACAAGCCTAATTTAGAATGTATATTTTTGCAAAAATAAAAATAAAATAACTACAGCACATAATGTTATGCCCTCCGTG